TTCGTTGGTTTGAGTACACGATGAATGGTTTGGATAGCCAGCCCTACTGTTTAAAGTAGAACACATTTTAAATTTTAATAAGTAATTCTGTACAGTAGCATATGGGACTTAGATTAGAGAGATGATTGGGGAAATACAAACAGCCTTCATTGTCAATTGTGAATGAATTTGGCAGATGGACACAATTGAAATCCACAAAAAAGTTGGAGTGTTATTCCTCTTTGTGGACTTCCTTTTCCTAAGTAATTTCTCATTCTTGTGGTGGAGTTTGAGGAGGGTAGGATGTACGTAAATTTTATCCTAACTTTATGGGTAGAAAAGTTGTTATCGATAGACCCTTGGCTCAAAAGAAAAATACTCGATGCAAGGAAAAAAATGATAGCAAAATAGCAAGATACAATACAAATGAAGTAACAAATAGTAATATACATTGAAGAATAAGAAACTATGTGATTACTAAATAATGCTATTAAAAAGGAGAAGATGAGAGGAGGAGGATTAACGCCTTACCTCTCCCACACAAAGTGTCTTTGTGACAACAATGGACTACCTATTAACCTTTTATCCTAATCATCATGTCATCATTTAGCTAAAGCTATGACATGTCCCCATTTAGCTAAAGCTATGACATGTCCCGTCCAATCACCTCACCCTAGTTCATCTTCAACCAACCTCTACCCCTACTAATTCTGGCTACAAACAACCTCTCATGCCTCCTTATTGGCGCATCCTCACACCTCCTATTCACATAACTGAACTATCTCAGCGTCGCTTCCTTCATCTTGTCCGCCACGGAAGCCACTCTCACCTTACCCAGTATAACTTTATTCCTAATCATATCTATTCTAGTATGCCACATCCTAATCTTTACTATCTTCATCTTCTGAATGCGGACGTTCTTGACCGACCAACTCTCTGCTCCATACAACAATGTTGTTCTAATCACCATTCTGTAGAACTTACCTTTAAGCCTTGGTGACACATTCTAAAAATAATGTAACGGACATTAACAAATCTTGAGGTCCACGCCATTTTGGGGGTGCATGTGCATAAAAATTGAGAACTCACTTGTATTACAGGATGAACATTTCTTCATTTTTGTAACATTTTTATTGTATTTGCAGAAATGAATGTACAATTACTATGCTTACATAAATTGTCAAAACTTCATAAAGGGATTTAAAAAAATTATTAGTCACACCTAGGATTTGAACTTGACTTAAAAGGCAATTTTTGAACCCCTTTCCCACTACACTAGATTCTTTTCTCAAGTCAAGGGTACTCAACAGTTCATATATAACCAAAGAAATGTTTTTACCCTATTTCTGCAATACAATTTTTTGGAAAGGTGATTCAATTGATCTCCCTTCGCTCCCTTTAGCTTCGCCACTGCCTCCAATATGTTCCGTGCTAGTTGATATGGAAACAATCTTAATGTGTTAGGCTATTCATTTAAACTCGTTTGCTCCCCAGTTCAACACCTATGGAACTTGTCAAAAATGAAATCATACTGCTTTCATCTAGACAAACATTTGGATCTCCTACATTGCTGAAAATAAGATTGATAAACTTGCCTTAGAGAGTATATGGTGTTCTATTTTTTTTGACAAAGGAGTATATGGTGTTCTATAATCTCAGTGGTCCTTAGCTTTTGCACGTGAGTCGTTTACGACTTTACGAGCGTATTTAACTTCGTTTAAATCGTAGTGGATTAAGCATAAGAAAAAGAAACAAGCGATCACACAATTCTCGAGAAGGTACATCCTTCTTCAGGAGCTGCTTCTGAAATTTCTATTATTTTACTTTTTGCTAAGATGATATTTTTGTAGTAGCACTATACCTCTATATACTTTGGACAATTTGGATAGAAAGAAAAGTAGATTACTTTTTTTTGAAATTGAGAAAGAAGAGTAGATTATTGAGGGGGAAAGGCCAGTAGTTTAGTCAATTACTATAAGCGAACCCTTCTAGATGTTTCGGCTGATATTATTACCAGTATTCGATACTGGGTCATTCATAGCCCTATTAGCGCTAGTAGAGTAGGATTGACCCGTAATACAGAACCTCTAGTCTTGTCCGAAAGCCTCAGGCGAATATGCCCATGTAAAGTTCAGATATCTTCAAAATTAATTTAGGAAACTTTGTAAATGACAAAGAAAAACATCCTGAAGCTCATGGACTCTCTTTCAATTATAAAAGGAGCCAGCCGGATACTCTTGATATATTCAATACCTCCTCGGTACATTTGTATCAACAATAAAATTATCTACTGATGAAAAAGATAAAATTCAGCAGTAGGAAATATCTGATCCGCGTGTCATGTTAATACTCTACATCACATTGTTAACATGCACGTCTCTTGAGTCTTGCATAACAGGTCATTATGAGGAAATCACTCTAACTTCATCTTTGATGTTGATATATTACCATGATAACACTTTCTAGTAATTAGTGGATGAAGCACAGTAAACGTTATCTCCTGTTATTTGTTTTCTTGTCAGACTGTCAGTCATCTATATGTCAATATGTATTGCAACCGAATTGAGCTATTCAACCATATTTAGTGATATATATTCTGGTATCTGATCAGTAGCTGGTGTCACTTGACAAAGTATTTTTGAATGTCTGAAATTCATGAACAGGAATCTACGTTGGTGGAAGCAAAGTTGTTCATTTTACGCGTGACCAAAATGTTGTTTCAGGAGACCCAATTCTCTTCTCTGCTCCCTTAAATTGCTCGTCAGCTTCGAGTACAAATGTGTCTTCAACCTGTACGAATATTCCTGACTGTGGATTTCAACAAAAGGAAAGTGGGGTGGTTCTCTCTTGCTTGGATTGTTTCCTGGGTGAGGAGGGGCTATTGTACCGCTTTGACTATGGAGCCAGCCCTTCAGTTTTTCTTACTAAACTTCGAGGTGGGACATGCACCACTGCACAATCTGATCCTCCAGAAGCAGTGATCCATAGAGCCATGTACTTGCTTCAAAACGGTTTTGGAAGTTATGATGTCTTCAAGAATAACTGTGAAGATTTTGCCTTATACTGCAAAACAGGTCTTCTTGTTCTTGACCAAGGAGCTCTTGGAAGGAGTGGTCAAGCTGCCTCTGTTATAGGTGCTCCTTTGGCAGCTATTGCTTCGTCGCCTCTGAAGTTATTCATGACAAGTCCGGCTGGCTTAGTCATAGCAACCGCTGGAATGTATTGTTTGACCAGGTATGCAACAGACATTGGTGTGAGGACTGATGTTACTAAGGTGAAAGTGGAGGAACTGACTTCATTCAATAATTGCAAAAGCTCGAAGAGACGCAAAAATGAGAACCATTGTGATACAAGAGAGGTTACTCTAAATCAAACAGATACACCGGCTAAAAAGCGGCGAAAATGTGATTGAAGGAGTTTGGGATTAGTTTTTGTAAATAGGAGGACTGGTTTTTTTCCAGCAAAATGATATGTCCTGATAAGTCATGTTGATTGAATTTGCTAAGCTGTGAAAACATTCATCTTGCTACTCATTTCCATTTGTTTAGAGTAAAAGCAGCCAATATTGACTGAGGGCCAATAGGCAACAAAGTTTAATTGCATTAATTTGTTGCTCTGAGATGAATGCAAACATTTTCTCACAAGGAATAAGTTCTAAAGCAAGACTTCTAATATTAAATTCTAGTACATACTTGCTAGTATTAAGAAAGAATGTGTTTAAGAAAAAAGAAACAACATGTTTATTAGAAAAAAAAAACATTTTTGATCCAAAAGTAATAATAGGGGTATTTTTACACCAAAATATTGACAGCATTCATAAATTTGAACCAAATTGTTGACAACAAGGGATTTTTTGATTTTACCAAACTGTTAGCTGGGCATTTTTGTTCAATTTTATACAATTTAAAGGCATTTTGATCTTTTTTCGTTTTAAATTGGCATAATACATAAATATGTTATTTAATTTGGCATTAGGTGACATTTATGTCCTATTTAAACTATTCAAAAGTTGAACAAGTAGACACATGCGTCCAATGTGACGCACGTAGGATGCACATCATGTCCTACCACATAGGACGTGTGTGTCTACTTGTTCAACTTTTTGATAGTTTAAGTGTCTACATGTTTATTTTAAATAGACAAAAAATAATTGGCAATACATTGTGTGTAGGCAGGGGTGTTCATGGTTTGGATAAAACCGATCCAAACCGAAAAACCAAACCAAACCGATTAAATGAATCTATTTAATTTGGGTTTGGTTTGGTTTGGTTTTAGTATTGTTAAGTAACCGATAATATTTTGTTTGGTTATGGTTTTGTTCGAAAAAATCGAAGAAATAACCGAACCGAACCAACAAGTTATATACATAAATTTTATTATTATACATACATAATATATTATATTCATAAACAATTTTAAAGATTTTATATATGTTTCATCAAAATTTATTTATAATTTACTTATGAAAGAAAAAATGTCCAAGGTGAGTAATATTTTTTCTTATTGGTTTCATGTATATAAGTGTCTATGGAAATTCTTTGTGTGACTGAAAATGTCATCGTCTCTTCCTTCTATGCCAAAATAGTGAAATTTGAAGTTTTATTCAGTAAATTCAATGATCGAAAGTTTTGTAATGCCAGTCATTCTAACTATTTTTTCGTTTGAATGGATTGTTGTCACTTTTTTCATGTTTTGAATGAATTATTTCTTTTATTTTTATGTATGGTTAATAACTGAACCAAATCAAATCAAAACCGAAAACAACCAAACCGATAAATGTATATTATATTTGGTTTGGTTTGGTTTTGATAATTTTAAAACCGATTAAGTTGGTTTGGTTTTGGTTTTGACCAATAACCGACCCAAACCAACCCGTGAACACCCCTATGTGTAGGGTTAAGGTTACCTATTACTACAAAAATTATTCAATTAATTAGAGTTACTTTACTTTTTATTGTGATTAAGTGAGATTAAAAAAAGAGTTAATGACTAAAAATATGGATTAACAATCATTTGTCAAAAAGAAGCTGAGATGAATTTCTCCTCTACGGCTCAGCGGTCCCACCACCCCTGCCCATAGCAGCCAGCTATCCTCCTGTTTTCGTGAGTCTCTGTTTTCGTTGATCAAATACTCAGACTAATGCGATATTAATCGCCATATCCATCTCATTCAAGCTTTTTTCTTCAAATTTGTATTGATTTTTTTTTTCTAAAAAGTATTGTTCGATCCATTTGGATGGCGAATTTGTATGTGAGGGCTGCTCCAACGACGGATCTGAATCGGAATACTGAGTGGTTCACGTATCCTGGAGTTTGGACTATTTACATATTCATTCTGTTGTTCTCATGGCTCGTTGTGATGTCTGTTTTTGGGTCCTCATCAGGCATGGCCTGGACTATTGTCAATCTTGCTCATTTCCTTGTACGTATTAATTTTCTCTAATTTTTTGTGTTTTTGAAACGATTTTAGGTATTGATCTGGTCTTGGAATATGCGTTTATGATTAGTTGACTGTGTTTTGGTTTTTGAGATCTGGGATTTTGGGAGGGAATGGATCTTAGACTCTCTTTCTGTTGGAAGAGCTGTATGATAATATTGAAAAACCTATCTATGGCTACTTAAAGCCCAGATATTTGTTTTCTGCTTCCAATTTGATTGAATTATAGTTCATTTTGGTAAAGTTGGTGACTTGTGACCATGAGGTCATGAGTTTGAGTAGTGGAGACAACATTTTGTGTAAATGCAGGGTAAGACTGCGTATAATAGATTCTTTGTGGTCCGGTTTTTCCATGGACTTCGTATATAGTGGGAGCTTAGTACACCATGCTGCACTTTATAGTTCATTCTGGGACATGCATAGAGGAACTTAGTGCACTAGGCTGTCGTTTATAGGTCATTATGGTGCATGCATATGGTCCTTGTGATTTCTCAAATTTCACCAGTCTTGTGGTATGAGGAGTATATAGTGAGTCAGTACCTTTATTCTTGGGAATATTTTTCAAAAGAGATATTTTTTTGGCTAAATTAAAACCTTCATCAGTGTATGAAATGTATCATCATCCATTATGGCATTAGTACCTTTCCCTTATAGTGGTTTAAGCTTTTCTTGCTTCCCTTTTGTAGCAATAGATTTCACTTCTGTACTCTGTTATATTCTTCTGGAAAATATTGAGATACTTAATACCTAAGAAATGTAGTAGGCACTCATTTGATTTTCCTTTTTTGATGCTAAATTTTGATATTTCTATAAAATCCTTAAAACTACCAGATGACATAGCAGAGTTGGGAAGCTAGTTGTGCACCTAGCTGCCTTTTCTGTCTCATTTGTGCATAACTTCTCTTGTCTGTTTTCCTTCAGGTCACATATCACTGTTTTCACTGGAAGAAGGGAACACCATTTGCTGAAGACCAGGGTATCTACAACAGATTGACATGGTGGGAGCAAATGGATAATGGCAAGCAGCTTACTCCCAATAGGAAGTTTCTGACAGTTGTTCCTGTGGTGCTGTAAGTATTCATTCCATTGTGTAAATCATTGGTTGCAGCTTTCGGCTGTGATGTCAGCAATAGGTTTGTGCTTGCAATGATAAGAATCCACGTGTTATCATTCATGGTATAACAATCAATGCATTATAGTTCCTCATGACAATCCCAAATTATAATCTCTATATAAGTAATCAAAGAACTAAGCAATCCCTAAATGTCGTGGAGTAAATAATGGGGTACTTATTTACAATCCTAGTGAACTAAGCCTATATTATAGAAAATATGTGTATGGAGGTTGTAGCAGAATGGACTTATGAGTGTCAGCCAGGATAAAAGTTTTTCTAACACAAAATTGGTAATATGGGGCATAAGTTAGTTTAAGAATTTGAGGCGCACGTCACAAGATTGAAGCCTGCTGTAAACCAAGTTTGGTATTTAAGTGGAGAAGAGTAGAAGGACAAACCATTATCCACCACGTACTTTCTAAATTCTGTTTTTGTGTAGTTAATTAAACCTGGATCCCTTGTAAACTTTTTGGTACCTTCTTGTACAATTTTTAAAATAAAGTACTTTGTCTTATCCACGGAAAAACCCATTATTAACCGAGTATTGAAGTAGGAAACAATGGTTTTCTCCGTCATAGGAAAAGTTGGTTAGAGCCTTTGAGTTAAAGAAGTGAACTTATTGACATTGGTTTAGCTGTATGAAAGACTTTGTTGCTTTTCTTTATTTATTTCATTCTCCATTTCCGGACGAGTTTGAGGTCTTTGGTGCCTTAATTTGATGTTGACCTATATGTAAGCCAGATGTTCTAAAAGGAATTCCCAATAATATAAGCACAAAAGAGTTATATGTAAAGCTTCGTCTATTGTGACACAGCGAGACTAATCAATAATGAGAGAGGACTGAATGCTGTGAAACAGCATAATGTCTGATGGCTAGTTTCTGTAGCAGACCAGCAGTGAGTTCTACTGTAAAAGGAAGGAAGAAAAATGAAACAACCTTTGATATTCATTGACATCTGCTTAAAAGGAAAAAAAGAAGGAACCTGGAAAGTCTGCAATAATGGACTGTAAGGGAAAATACTTTTGGACCATGATTGTGTTGGTTTCTATGATAACATTTTCCTGCTAAAGTTGAGATCACCTTAGACCTGTTAACTCAAGCATTTTTTTGATCTAGGACTGGATAATATTGAACTAGAAAAGGTACTAGCAAGGGTGTCAACCAAAAGGTTGGGACTGAGGCATAGTTGCTGTTGGTTAAACTATCAGTCCAACTGGTTCTATATGAACTGTCGGACTTGTTATCAAAGGCGAAAAGCGCAAAAAAGCTCTAAAGTCTGTTGGGGCTTGAAGTGCAAATAAATTGTAGACATTAATGAAAACAGGTGCAAAGGGAGAAAAAAATGCAAATATATATGTTTAGTCCAAAACTAATTTTTATAAACATGAACGACAAATATAAGGACAAAGAAATTTGAAAAAAGATTAAGATAAAGTGAAATATTAATTGTTTAGTGTCACCTCTTCAGAAGAGACTCATTGGCAAGGAAAATTATGTCGTAGAACGTTGATGACGACACTGAAGCATACATAAAGCGAGGCGAAGTGCTCAACACGTTTTGACCGTCGCTTCCAGACTTAAGTGTGCCTTTGACTGCAGAGGCGTATCTAGAGGGGGTTCCGTGGGTTCACCTGAACCCATGCTACCCTCTCTAGACCATATATAGTAGTGTTATATTTTTTTAAAAATACTTAAATATAGATGTGTGAACCCACTCTCAATCTACTATATAAAAATACGATGATGATTGGGTGCATCTCTCTAAGTGATGATAGAAATTTAAATCTTATATCTATATTGTTTTTTTTAGTAGCACTTCTCCAAGTGGTTATCGGTAACACTTTTGATGTTTCAACTAATTTTTCTTTATTTTTTTTGCTTTAATATATTAAAGTTCAAGAGTGTTGCATTGAAAATTCCTAAAAAAATTATATAATCAAATCAAATGTGTATATTAAAATTTAAAACTAGTAATATCATGTATTTTGGACCTATAATTTTAAAAATTTGACGGTTCATATTAAGAACCTAAAGGTCAAACAGATCAAATTTATATTTTAGATGCTTTTTTTTTGTAATAGTGCACCCATCCTTCTGAAATCTTGGATACGCCTATGAGTCAACACCGTTACAGGAAAAAATGATGAGAAACTAGTAATTTTGTATATCTTCGTCGTAACTCTCAACAAGTGTATGCATATAATTGTGCTAAAAGCATTTTTGCAATAGATTCCTAGTAGTTTATCCAACAAAGTATCACCTTAATCTGAGATAATCTTCCAGACCTAATGCTATAAACATTTTTTGATGGAAGCCGTATTAGAAACCATAATATTAAATTAAGTAATCCGATAACCTATCAATTTAAACAATATATTTTGATTTGGTTGTTATGAGATCTTTTTAGCTTGAGCTTTTATGACTTCAACACATTATCTATGTTAAACAAGTGATTTGTTCGATTTATGTATATGTTAGGAAACATAGATGTTGGTTCCAATCAACTTTATTATGTGGTGAAAGTCAAAATATAACATTTTAGCGAAGTGTTCTTGGCACATTATTGGACAAAACACGCTCTACTATGTTTATGTTCATTAATAAAAACACTCTCCTACGTTGAAATGTAGAAGTGCAATATGTTTCGGATTCAGATCTACTTATGCCTCCACGAGTGTGGATGAATGATGGTGTGGATATCTAAATAGTGCTCATAATGTGTTTGCGTATTACTTATCTATGAGAAGAAAAAGAGTTTCATCATATTGCTTACTGGTTCTGCATGAAACTTTTTTCCCATCTTTACAATGAACTGGAGCTCTCATGTGATAGCTTGTTCTCTGATAAAGTTAATATAGTTCTAATGGTGTTGATAGGACATGAATTGTTTGCCATTTGTCTTGTCTCTGCCAACAGATACACCATAGTCCCTCTTTTTCTCATTTCCTGGAGAAAAAAGATACTTCAATTTAATTGATTTGTGCTTGTTTAAGACGATTTCACCTTTTGCCTTTACAAATATGTTCTAAACTTGTAATACTTTCTTCTTTGAATAGGTACTTGATAGCTTCCCATACAACTGACTATCAACACCCAATGCTGTTCTTCAACACATTTGCAGTTTTCATTCTGGTGGTTGCCAAATTTCCCAACATGCACAAGGTTCGAATTTTCGGGATCAATGCAGATCAATGAACTTCTACATTCAATTTGAATTTTTTTTACTCTCAGCTGTAGTATTTGATTGGTTTAACAATTTTGAGTAAACAGGGAACTCCTGTACAAATGCAACAACTTCAAAGGGTGAAATTATATATAGTAAAAAATTAAGAGTTGAGAACAATATTCTGCAACTTTGCCTCCATATTCTATTGAACTACTATATCTTTTCTATGTTAGATTACCAACTCTTTTCTTACCTAAATTTCTTAAACCAAAAGCAAAAGTTGCAGTTGGAAGTTCAAAGGAACCTCAAAGTAGTTGTTAATGAATTAATGAGAAAGGTTTATATAGAATTTGTTGAGAATGTGAAGGGAAGTTCTAATAGGGTTCAAAATGCTCTTTAAAATATGTGAAATTGAATAAAAATATACTCTGTTAAAATTTGATCTAAAAATGTCTGATGTGAATGATTTTGGTCCAACAATATCCCTACTACAAATAGTTTGGTCCAGAAATGTTTCTATTGTTACTTAATGAGTCAAAAATATCATTTTTCTAGTAAATGTATTTAAACCCGTAATTATAAAAATTATGATGAACTCATGTAGATTATAATTTTTTTTGGCATCCATCTCTGTTTATAACATGCACAATTAGCCATTAGGTATGGAGTTAGAAGTTGATACTCCCTCCATTCCATAATAATTGAATTTTTGAGGTGTTTCACACCCTTTAAGAGAAGTAGATTAAGACATAAATTGAATATAGTTTTCCATTTTTACCCTTATTAATTATTGTCAAATTTATTGAAGTCATCACATTGAAATTCAAACGAAGGATAAAATTGAAAGAACACTCTAAAAGTAGTCTTGAAAACTGAACAATTAAGTTAATTTGAAAAATGGAAAATGCCTCAAAAATTCAATTAATATGAAATGGAGGGAGTATAACAATTCACCGAATTCAATAATTTTTGCTTTTATATTTAACTTTTTTAATTGAACATATATAAATTTTATGTTTAGAATTCAATTGTGTACACTTAAATTTCCCTAATTATTTTAAATTCATAAAATTAAAATCTTTTGACTCTGTCTCTCACAAAACTACGTGCTTGAAATGGATAAGGATCAATTTGGCACAGAAAAATAAAAACAGTAAATATGCGTTTGTCTTATTTATTTATTATCCAAAAAAGAAAGGGCCATTGCAAAATTTATTTCTACTCTTTTCTCAAAGTTCATGTACTGCCAGGGTTTAATTTGAAGTCGTCGAGTCCGGTTCCCACTGCTTGGGTTGGGGGGAGGTTAGGGTACTACAATAATAAATGACAATTTAAAAGATAAAATAAAATTACTTCTAATTTTGAAAGTTAAAATATGTCACATCAATTGAGACGAAGAAAGTAAATAATAATACAACACTTTAAATTTGAATTCTAACTCCATTATTATTTATGAAGATACTTCTTCTCTCCATTTAACATTTTTATTTTAGAATTTATCATGAATTTCCTACTTTATTTTAATTTTATCACTACTATATTTTAATTTTAATCTCTTTTTTTATACAAAGGGTGTTCTCAGTGGAAAATAACTCTTTTAGATGTCTCATTTTTTTTAGGGGAAAAGGTCCTGATTTACCCCTAAACTTTATGATTTGGAGCTGATATACCCTCCGTTTAAAAAATGGCTCATATATGCCCCTGCCGTTATAGAAATGGCTCATATATGCCCTTTTACTTAACAGAATTTTTTTTAATAAATTAAAAATTCATTTTTTTACTTTAATTTAAGAAAATGTCATGTGGCTTTTAAAATACCCCACTTTCCACCATACCCACCCAACCCAATTGGAAACAATAAAAACCCACCCGCTTAAATTAACTTCACCCATTTCATTTCATGGTTTCCACCTCAACAGAAACAAAAATAATTTTTTTGTTAGTATCCGGTCTCATTTTGAGTGAAGATTGCTAATTTTAGGACATGAATACAGTTAAATAAATATTTCCCTTAATTGCCTCTTCTTTCGGCTATACAAGGACGAGAATGATTTCTTGATGGCTTTGTTCTGGGCATACATTTATCTCCTTTTCCAATTCGAGGGTTTCTTTTTTACCAGATTGTGTTTCCTCTCTTTATCCGGGGGTGCCCTCTGCTTGGTACATTTCTCAAGCAATTTGTTCTTTCTTATCCATTGATCTTTTTCACACTAAATGAACATGTTTGTTTAGAGATAGATTATCACTCACTTTATGCTTAAGTTGTGGATTTACGGTATATAAGCTTACCTAGTTTCTATTTAAGATGGATCAATTTATAGACCCTAACAAAGTAAACGTTAAATGTGCAATATATAGGATGCATAACGCATCTCTTGTAATAATATTTGATGCTTGCAAACTTTGGTATGTTAAATGCTTGATAAATAACTGGGTTTATTATTTTGTGGGCACTTTAGGAACTGAGGCAGATCCAAGGAAGAAGGGCACTACTGCGGCCGCTTAAGTTTCTAAAGAGGCAGTTTGACGTTTTATTTTTATTTTGCCTTCCATTTCACCGATAAATCGAAGTTTTGAATATTCGTTTCTCAAATATCACCCGAACTCAGGATTGTAGAGCTCACTGGAACCCTCACAATTTTTTTTGGTTTCATTTGAGTGTGGAAATAACGAAATGAAATGAGTTAGGTTAATTTGGGTGGGTGAGATTTTTTGTTTCCAATTGGGTCGGGTGGTATGGTGGAGTGGAAGGTGGGTATTTTAAAAGCCACATGACATTTTCTTAAATTAAAGTAAAAAAAATGAATTTTTAATTTATTTAAAAAATTTCTGTTAAGTAAAAGGGCATATATGAGCCATTTCTATAACGGCAGGGGCATATATGAGCCATTTTTTAAACGGAGGGTATATCAGCTCCAAATCATAAAGTTTAGGGGTAAATCAGGACCTTTTCCCCTAAAAAAAA